CGATTTCAGACAACTCCAGAGCAGTTCTTAGCACGTTTGCGAACGAACGTATATTTAAGTGGGAGAGAATGTAACGACCCGACCGATCATTTTGAGCTCTAGTGCGTCATTCAGCAGTTTGAGACCCCGAGCAGCTTCACTTCAGGTATTATGACTTGTACGTATGGTCGGAATTGAATTTCCGGAAGTTCAGAGTTAGTTTGGGAAGAAAATTCTAATTTCGGAAGCTTTAAATTGGAGGAATTGACTAAAGGGTGATATTTGACTAAATGACCTCGGAATCGGTATTTGGAGGTTCCAAAAGATTCGTATGATGATTTTGGACTTAGACGTATGTCCGGATCAGGTTTTGGATGACCCTGGAATGTTTCGGCGCCTATTGTGGAAATTGGCATTTTGGAAGGATTTCATAAATTTGGGTTGTAGTGCATTTCAATGCTATCGATGTCCGTTTGGGATTCTGAGTTTGGGAATAGCTCTGTATGGTGATTCTGGTATTGGGAGCACATCCGGATGCGGATTTGGAGGTCCGTAGGTCATTTCGGGGTCATTTGGCGAAAGTTGAAACTTTGAAGGTTTTTAAGAAGTTTGACCGGAAGTGAACTTTTTGATATCGGGGTCGGATTCTAATTTCGGAAGTTGGAGTAGGTTCGTAATGTCAATTATGACTTGCGTGCAAAATTTGAGGTCAATCGGACGTGATTTGATAGGTTTCGGCATCGATCGTAGAAGTTGAAGTTTTAAAGTTCACTAAGTTTGAATTGGAGGGTGATTCATAGTTTCGATATTGTTGTGCGTGATTTGAGGCCTCAACTAAGTTCGTAATATATTTTGGGGCGTGTTGGTATATTTGGTTGAGGTCCCGAGGGCCTCGGGTGATTTCTGGATGGTTAATAGATCAATTTTTGGACTAAAGGAATAATGAGGGAGCTGGTATCTGGTGTAACCGCACCTGCGAGGTTTTGGCCGCAGGTGCGGAGCCGCAGAAGCGGCAATGAGGGGCACATGTGCGATTTTAGTTGAGCAGTGCTGAGACCGCAGATGCGATTATCCCGCCCCAGAAGCGAGACTGCACCTGCGGAAGGGAAGGCGCATAAGCGGAAGCAGCGGCTGGGGGAATCTCCGCAGAAGCGGAATAATTGCCGCACCTACGGAACTGCAGAAGCGGTCAAGTGACCGCAGGTGCAAGAATTCGAGCTGGGCAATGAGGTTTCCTTTAAAACGGGATTTGGCCCATTTTTCTCCCATTTTTTACTTGGTTGGGCGATTTTGGAGAGTTTCAAGTGGGGGTTTTCATCATCTATGCCAAGGCAAGTTATTCTCATCCATTGCAAGTTAAATATATGGTTTATATACGGATTTAAGCATGAAAATTAGTAGAAATTGTGGGATTTTTGGTTGAAAACCTAGAAATTTTATTTTTGAATTTTGACCACGAATTTGGGCATGAAATTGAGAATAAATTATATATTTAAGCTCGTAATGCTATGGGTAGTGTTTATCTTCGAAAATTTTCGAAATCCGGGCGCGTGGGCCCGAGGGTGATTTTTATCGACTTTTCGAGAGGAGTTGAAAATTGTTATAAATTGATTAATTATGAGTATTAGAGTACATTTTGATTGGGTTGCATCTTAATTGACTAGTTTTGGAGCGACGGGCATCAGTTTGAGGTGTTAGAGGGCTTTGGAGCCGGTTATGGAATTTCAGAGCGAGGTAAGTCTCCTGTCTAACTCTGTGAGAGGAAAACTACCCCTAGGTGATATATTTAATGTGTGCAACTTGTTGTGGGGACTACGTACGCACGAGGTGACGAGAGTTCGTACATAGTTAGATTCATATTGTTGTCCGGGTAGACTTAGGTTCACATCATGCTATAGCTGTACTATTTGAGTAGTCTCTCGTCTATTAAATTCCTCTATTTTGCATTACTATTTGAGACTAGAATTGCTTTTGTAGAGACTTCACAAGTTCATGATTAGTCACCGAATAATATTACTCCTCTTACGGCATATTTTCGGGATATATATGTTTCATTGAAAGGTTTTTGTTAAATAAATTACAACTCACGCGTTTATTCGTGAGTGGGGTCAAGGACCCATCAAAGCCTCTTATTCTAATAGGATTGGGCCGTTCGCCTCGGCAGGATTTATGTACCACACTCTCATGGGAGAAGGCCGTTCGTCTCGTCAGTTAATAGATACATCTATGGTTCGTGCCGTTCGACCCTCGGCAGTGCACAATTTTATTATTATGTTGGATCGGGCCGTACACCTCGACATTTCCTATATCATATCCTCATGGAATCGTGCGTAATATTTGGCAAAAAGCCAGAGTATCTGTGAGTTTTCCCGATTTGGGTTATGAAAATCTATCTGATGAGATCCACTATATTTATATATATGCTCCAGTTAAGGAGGGAATTTCAAACGGAGAGCTTGAGTTTCTCGTAAAGAGGGGTATTTGTACCACATGATCTATATTTGTTTGTCTCATTTATTTGCTCTGCCTCATATTTACTTACCTCTTTACTGTATATGGTATTATTGGACCACTAGTAAGTGTCGATGTCGATCCCTTGTCACTACTCCTCCGGGATTAGGCTAGATACTTATTGGGTACACGTTGATTACGTACTCATACTACACTTGCTGCACATTTTTGTGCAGGTACATATATGACTAGTGGTCTTGTGAGAGTAGAGGCATGTATGCATGCGGGGACTTATACGTGAGCTACATTCCATATTACAACCCACAGCCGGTAGAGTCTCTTTCAGAGTATTTATATTTCTCCTGTCTAAATTTGTACTCCGGACAGATGTTGTATTTTATTTTATATTTCTGGTTGATGCTCATGTACTCATGACACCAGGTTTTGGGATAATTATGGGTTATTCTGTATTGAATTCGTTAAAAGTATTATTATTTACTCTGTAAATCCCCTTTCCTTACCATTTAAATTGAAGGAAAATATGATTTCAAATAATAAAAATGAGAACCCAATTAAGTAATTATTGTTGGCTTGCCTAACAGTGGTGTCCGGCGCCATTACAACCTTCATTGAATTTTGGGTCGTGACACTTTATTTCCGAACTTGGGGTCGTCGACACCATTACCAAGCTGCCGAAAATTTACTGTGATAATTCTGCAGCAGTATTCTTCTCCAAGAACGATAAGTACTCCAAATGTGCCAAACATATGGAATTAAAGTACTTTACCGTCAAGGAGGAAGTTTAGAAACAAAGAGTGTCACTTGAGCATATTATAACTGATCTCATGATTGCAGATCCGTTAACGAAAGGTTTACATCCAAAGATATTTAAAGAACATGCACATAAAATGGGTCTTGGCTGTATATATGATGTTTTGACACTCTTAGCTCATTTATGTGTTTCTGATATACATTAATGATTTTCTGTTTCTCCTAATGGGGTGCACATTATTGTTTTGAGATATTACAGGATAAGTCTCAATGAGACATTATTGTGGACCAAAATGTTTTATAGCTTATGGACCTGATACGATGAGTTACTAATTTTGTAGTATATGGAAGGGAGTATGTAGACAAATTATATATATAATCGCCATAACTCACATTTAGTAGTTTATCGTATTATGATATTTATGATGGACATTATAGAAGAGAGTTGTTTATGCGCAACTAATGATCTTATATTATTAAGTATTAATATTATGTGATTATTGGGCCAAATGGGAGAGTGTACGATTTTCCTACGTATATTGGCGGCCCAATAGGTTTAAGGACCATAATTAATATTTAATTAATGAGCAAATCTCATCCGTCCGATCGGTTATTTGATGGACGTACCAGATTAAGTGAGAACCTCTATAAATTGGTCCTCTCCCCGCTCATTAGGGTTACAGTATTTTTCTATTCTCTCTTCTATCACTAAAGTCGGCGGTAACGAAAGCTAGGGCAAGGGGCGAGAAACCAATTCCAACTAACGCTGCCGCTTCGTGATAATAACTTAAGATTCATGTATGTTTTTTGTAATAATTTTATGTAAGATTATCATGTTCAAGATCCTGGTATGAAGTAAGTTTATGTTTACGGCAAGGACAAAGAGATAACCTATATTATTCGAGATTTAACACATCCAATTGATTTTCCTTAGAACCAATGGAAACGGAAGTCTGTGAGTCAACAAACTCAAAGGTCAAGAAAAATGTAGGGACAAATTTTAAATATTGGATTACTTAAACAGTTAAACTTCAATAGACTTCGAGTAATGACTTCCACATGAGGTAGCACGAAGAATGCATTAGAAATATCCCTATCACTTGTGATTTAGTTGTCTTTAAAGAGTATTTTTCATGGTATACACCATGTACTAAAAATCTATTTTTTTGTATGTTCGCAAAGGTTATTCAAAATTTAATATACCTATATAAAAATAATTTTAGACCTATATATACAATATAAATTGTTATATATACAATATAATTTTTCGATAAAGAGTATTCGTTTAACAACCCTTCAATGTAGGGGAAGAATAATGCCGAATGAGCATTTTCCTTTTGCTTGTGACAAGGAAAGAACATATCCAAAATGTGAAGTCCTTGTTCATTTAATCTTCATGTTATGAATGCTTTGAGAAATCTGTCATGTCATGGCCCCCTAACACTATAAAGGGTTCTATCTACTAAGCCGTAAACGGAGGGTAAAAGTATCTTCTATTCCTTCCTTTTAATTGTGGCTTTATACAAGATATGATTTATTAAGTTACTCCTATTAAATATTTTTTATCTTTTGAAAATTGAACAGTACTAAAAAAATATTTCATTAATATTAAAGGTATAATAATTGAAAGCAATAAACAAATTCAGTTTTGAATTCCTAAAGTAACATGCTAGTATTTTGGGACAATTTCTTTGAGTTAAAACAATAAACTAAAATGGGACGAAGGAAGTACATTATTTTACTTACAAAGTATAGTCGTAAAACCTGGACTTCTCCTCCTCGGAAAGCTTAACTAACCTGGAATATGCTCTTCCCTCGCCTCAATGAGGATCCTATGTATACAAAGTCCAGCCCATTTTTTCTTCTCTTGTCTCATATTTTTGGATTTTCCCCTTTTATTTAATTTGTATACGCTACTATTAGAAAATCGAAAAGTCGCCTCTTAAACTCTTTTAATTAAACTACAGTAATGCTAATTATTAACTATATTAATAGTGCTAAATATAATTACAAATTACTGTTTGTTGAGAGAAGCGGAAAATAACCTCTTAACTCTTCAAATTCTTACTCGTCTGTCTTTTTAAATGGTCTGGACTCTGGACTACTCTCTTATTATTTCAATTTTCCACTGGTACCACTGCAACTCCCTTAGCAGAAAATTGCACAATGCCACAAGACCGTGATTGATTTGGTTAAGCAAATGAATTATTTTGGGATTCTTCCCAGGTTGAGATCATTTGGTCCGGCATTGCTCGGGATTTGTGAGAAGGGAATGGCTGAGAAGTGAGAAGGCTGGGGTTGTGACTATTAAATATTAGTTCAGAGTCGAAACAGGGAGGAGAAAGTATATGAAAGGATGCATAGATTAAGAGCATCAGAAAGGCAGGGCCTCATAAGAGACTTATGGTATGATAATCCTCTACTTTTGTGTTGTTAAATTTTAGTACAGCTGGGATACTTTTATCCTCTTTTTTTTTTTTTTTTTAGAAATCGTTGCATCCCGTCAACTAAATTGCTGATTGATTCTGTCATACTGATTGTAGTATCCTGCATATTTTTTGGCTATAACTACTGTTTTTTAGACGATTTCTTATGAGAGTGAATTCATTAGGTAGTTTCACATTATTGACATTTGATAATTCTGTTTCTTTTGCGGTATACTTCTATCGTTTACTCAAACCTATCATAGAGAAATTTGTATCATCATTGCTGAAAAAGATGTTGGAGGCTGCTAGGGTTGCTGAGAATGATGCTTGAGGCTTCCGAGCCATAGTTCTCAAGTTGATTTAAAGAAAAGTATAATAGTCTTCATAAAGCTAAGCATTCATATTTATCGTCTGCCAACACTCCCAACAAACACACCCTAGAAGAAATATCATTTGGGTGGACATTACAGTTAATAAGCAGGAATCTCTGTAGATGAGGGCCTTTGTAATATAAAAATGCAAATGATAGTGAGTGGAATTAGATGTATGTGTTTGTCCTTCTCAAAAGATGTATTTGTTTGTCTTTATAATACAATGTTGGTTGCAGCCAATAAAACAAGTTTTTGATATGGTAACACTTAAAGGAATGTCATACTTTGTTGTTTATGTGTATTTAGCATTTTGGCACTTTCATTGATTATTATCCTTTCTCCATTAAACTGGATCCTGAAAGATCTGTTGAAATGCAAAATATATTGGTTCAAAACAGGTGAAATGTTGCTGTCAATTCCCAGTATTTGAGTTTCCATGCTTCAGGCATGTAGGTGAAAGAGTATTGGACTAATTTCTAAGGTGCACTCGTCCAGAAGTGGCTACAGAAGTGTGATCTATTTGATTCAGTGGTGGATGGTGCAGATTTTGGCCTTATTATTCAACGTAATTTTAATTTTGCCCAGGTAGCTGTGCTTTGATTTACATGCCTTTTCTGTTTTCTTATCCTTCCCTTCTTTCTGAGGCGCGGGTGGGAGGGTCAGTTTGAAGTTAGGAGGCATTTTAATGCGCATGAAAAAAAGGAACAAGAATTACTTGCCTATCATTATGTGTGTTTCCAACATGGAGGAATGCGATATGTAGAATGGAATATGTAAGTGAGGCTGAATTATTGTTAGATCTCATTGGTTCCCTACAGAACTAGAAGGAACTATATTTTTTGGGTTAGGTTGTACAGTTTACATCACCATCTTAGTGTTGTCTTTTGTAAACAAAGTTTCTATCTTACTAATAAAAAACATCATTATGCATCTTTTGGACAAGGAAATGGTGATACCTTTTGACTCCTGCATGAGGCAGGGTTGTACTGTCGAGCTGTTCAAGATTGATAACATTTTTTTTAATTGTATTTTCAAGGTCGATAATGTATCACAAACAGTTTGCGGATACTCTGTCCTGTCTCAACTTAGAACTGTCGTCAATAAATTAAGGCAGATGCTTGAATCAGATAAGCTTCCGTGTAACTGGCTGTCCTCTCCTTCTCAGAATAAATGGTTGTCCTCCTCAACATCCTAATAACAAGAAGTTGTTTGAGAGCTGGTGCGCTTTATGCTGCCTCACCTGGTTCAAATACTCTTTACCTTTGAGTTGTTATCCTGATAATTGGTCCTTTTAATAGGAATTAAAAGCATATTGCACTTTGTTTCTAGGTCTGCAGAACTTAAAAGTGCAAGAATATATTTAAATCATATGGCACAAAATTTTTTTAACCATCTAAACCAGATGCCATTAGTATAATGTCGTAGTAGAAGTCCCATGTGTACAAATAGCCCTTTTCTACAATTGGATTTGGCAAAAGTCCCATAATATGTTTTCTTTTCGTTGTACAAAAATAGCCCCATACTATTACTAAACCTCCTCTATTCTATTCCTTTTGGCTTCTTGCAGTTATTGTTAACGTAATGAGCCCTTTGCACTCGATTTCTCTTCATTAAATATTTCTTTAGCACCATCTCGTCTTCCTCTTTTAAGTTAGAAGAGAATGGTTCCCGCAAACCTTGAAACATCTTCTTCAACTGTATCTTATCTTCTGTTTCTGTGATTGACCATCAAGTGCAAGAGACTTTAAATGCTTTCTCAAGATTAGCAGCTGATAAAACCAACCAGATGCTGCTTTATCTTAAAAGACAAATATGTTAACAACACTGTCCGTCTATTCAAGAGTAAATTCTTCATCTCCATGCTGATTGACCAACTTGGTTAAATTAAATTCGTCGAAGGCTCTTAATATGATCTCAAACCTTAGATGGGTTCTTATTTCATCATTGAGTAGTATTTTCTCTTAACTGCAGATGGAAATGTATGTTGTGCCTGATGGAATGAAAAACATCAGGTACAATCTCGCTCTCTCTCTCTCTCACACACACACGCGCGCAACACACTAGATTATTGACAATCTCCAACTTGTTAAACAGTCGACAATCTTGAAAAAATGATATCCCTCTATATGAAACATGTTCTCCCAGTTGTCATGTGTTGTAGCTTAATGCCTCCCTCATTTTTACGCAGGAGCAGAAAATACTGATGATGATGAAAGAACTGATGATGTGCAACAGAATGATGTTGCTGCTGCGGAGAAGAGTGATGATGAAAAGGGAGGGGGTGATTAGCTAATGAGTGATGTTGTTGTTGCTGCTCTGAGAAGGTGCATTTCACAAACATAACCTTTAATTGTACATTAGGCGTAAACCATCAGTTGTATGTTTATTGCTAATGTACATTTAAAAAGGCTTTAAGACTATGATATTCATGATGAGGAGACAGGTGTGTTATTGCATAACGCAAACCTGCTATGAAAGAGGAAAGAATCTTAATTGTGCATATTTTTTATTGTTATCCTCTTACACATGCATTATCAATAATTTTATTGGTGGGTTATCTCATGTGTTATCTTACATTTACCTTTTTTGTTTATTGATTTGGAATCTTAATCTCGATTGATTTAGCTGTTTTGTCTTGGCTTCTATTCAAAATAAAATGGAGGAAGATGGTCACACAGGAAGAGACTTCAAATGAATGTTCCGGCTGCTGTTGCGGAAAAGAAGAATGATGATGAAAGGAGTGATAATGTGCATAGCAGCATCATTCATCTGCACATCATCATACCTTACTTCGTCATCGTTCTTTTTTGCATTAGGAGCATACGTTTGCAGGGTTTTTCCTGTTTTCCTCCTCTCATTTGCTCTCCATCTTGAGGAGAAGTCAAGAAAAACTAGCTTAATCAACAGAAGTAAAGATTCCAAATCAATCAATAAACAAAAAAACGTGAGATTGCATTGTTCAAAGATAATCCAGCAGTAAAGTTATTGTTAATGCACGTTTAAGAACATAAACAATAAAAGAAAAGGGTTATGTACATTTAAAGGTTCTAATGACAACCATTAAATAAGAAGCTACCTGCGGATCCCGGTTTAATAGAGCAGGAAAAGCTTACTATTTATTGTCGTTTTGATGCTTTTCCTTTCTCATTTGTTGATGAATTGGGCAATTAGCCATTGAGGTTTCATAAGTTTACTGTTGAGATATCAGATGCTATAGATCTGGATGACTGCTTCAAGAGATGATGGACTTAAGCTCCTTATGCTTCCACTTTATTTGGTTGTTATTAAGGTAGGTTATCTCATGGCCATCTCCATAAATGACTCAACTTAGTATCATTCTCATGTCTAAGCCCGTGTAAACATTTGAAACTGAAATTGGTGTGTGCTGCCTGTTATTGGAGATGGCCTTGAAACTGCGCCACCAGGATAAGAGCACTGCGTTCTCTCTTTTCACTGAACTGGAGAATCAGCTCTTTCACCTATAAATTGTTATGCACAAAGTTAAAGTGGACCATTGGAATGCATCTTTTATCCCTAGTCTTTATAGATCTTTGTTTTAGTTCTTTTCCATGTCCACAGAAAAAGATAAATGAGGTTATGCCCCATTAGATGGTGTTTGTAGTACTGCAACTTCCTCTGTTAAAGGAACTACAAATAAAGTGGTAGCATTTGAAATTTCCATGATATGAAGGTTATTGGAACAAACTCAGGTCAAATATGGGCTTTATTCTTGGTGATGGGAGGAAAATTAGATTTTGGGAAGACACATGGTTGGGTTTCGTACTTTCGATCTAAGATGTGTAGTGGGTGTTTGACTCGAAAGCTTCATGCTTTGACCTTGGAATTGATATCTTTGAGATGCATATATTATGAGCATAATTAGCTAGCTTTACTCAAAAGCTACATTTGGTCCCATCAATGATTTCTGTGTTAGTTTCTCTCTGCCGAATTCATCTAAGATCATCATATCCTACCTATGCATTTTAAAAAGAGCCAAAAGAACTTAAAAAGAAAGGGAGTTAACAAGGGAAGTTTGTTTTCGTAGCAATATAAATACATGTACCTTCCAATCCCTAGTACTTTCTTTCTTCTTGTGATGTCTTTATCAGATAAAAACAAGGAAACAAAATAAAGGAACTTAGAAAACAAGTTGAGATAGGGCCATGAGAAGAGCAGCATGTTTTTGTGCAATCATAATGGCTTTCAATTTGATTTGGTCATTCCCAAACCAAGCAAAGTTCCAAAGAAAGCAAATTATATTGGTGAAACTCATAACGTCAACATATATTGAGAGATGATGGAGATGCCTTTGCTCACAAGAAACTAACTTGTTTAAAAAGTAAACACCTACACATGCAAACTCCCACAAACACCAAACAAAACTGAGGGTGGGTGGGTTGTGTTTTGGGGGTGGGGGTGGGGTTGTTTGGTTCTTGATCTCTTTTTTTTTTATGTCAACATGTGCAGTTGTTTGTAAATGCAGTCTTGTGTTGTATGGGTGAGATGATTAGAAATGCTCAGTGCTTACGAGCTAATTAAGCAATGAAATGATTTTATTATACTTCGAAAGTGGGTTTATGTCTTAATCTAATGAACTTCCTCTGGGATTTATGAATTGCTACACGTGGTGAGGAGGACACAACTTTTGATTATGCTGATATTTAGAATTATTTTCTCTATTAAGACAAAGAAACCAACATGCCGTGCCTCATTCTTTGGGTTTAATTTGTTTGGATTTATCTACTTAAATCAGTGTTGAGATCGCTACACAATATATTGGATATTGCTCCTTTAGTCCCTGTTTCCATATTCAATTTGGCATCTCACAAGTTGGGACCAATTTTAAGTTTAAATGAGCGTTTACTTCAATTATGAGGGTATTTCAAATTGTTCTCAAGCTATAAGGAGGTAACGTAAATATAGAAAACCACATGAGTAAAATGCATTAAGTATTTACTCCTATAGTCCTGTAGATAATGCAATCTTTTGATATAATTTAAAGGCTTAAAAAAATTTCGTTTAAATGGATTTTCTCAGTAAAACTTTTGACTAATATGAATGAAATGGCCCCGTGAATTTGCTTTATAACTTCGGCAGATCTAAAGTCAAAGAATAGAAAGGGGAAAAGAAGCAAATAGAAAGAAGCAGAGACATGACATTCTTTTTCTTCACAAGTTTAGGCTTTAATGTTTGCTTAACACATAACAGCAACGCTCATCACGTTTTAACAGTAATTAAGACCTTAAAAAGCACTTTGAATTCCAATGCTAAAAAGAGTAATTACTCTTTAAGAATCCTTAAAAGTAACCTTTGAATGGTCATAAGTTTCTCATTTCACATTCAATAAAGCACTTTAATTTTGGCAATTCACGGATTGAACCCCCTCGTTAATTAAAAAAGTAAAAGAGAAGTCGTTTCTTAATGTAAATTGGTAAAAAGTAGAAACTTTACTTTTTAGAATTATCTTCAAACAAATAGCAGATCGAAATTAGAGTATTGTATATATCATTTAGTTTGCTACTCTTTTCTGTCATAATTTGTACTACAAACTTCTTTTTGGATTTTATAAATATTACTACTAACTATTCCTTATAATGTTTGCAATTTTAGAAATTAGGTTCGTTTAATTAATTGAACTTTATATGAAGCTTTACTAAATTTTTACTTTTTAGAATTTGATACAATTAAATGGTGTCAAATAAAGTAGGATGAGGAGAGTACCATTTTCTGTAGGCAATTAGTCGCCACTTCCTTTAATCCACTTTTCTACTATTGAGATTTTCATCTTTGTTAATAACATTAAAACTAATTACTTTTCTTACTCTTCTTTCGTCTTTGTCTACCTTTCAACTTCTATAACCTTCGTTCACACTCCACAAAAGTCTATTTTCATACAAAATCACTTTCTCGTGTGTTTTCTCTGGAAAATACTTTTCTTGCCTAAGGATATCATCAATTTACACTTTAAAAAAGATATTTAAAATGATGATAAATCGATCATTCGTTATTTCAAAATAATTACGACATTAATCTCTACGCTAAAATTTTGTTAACATCTTCAGAAAAAAGGGGGAAATCAATCTAGCACTATGTTGTAAATTAAAATTTCAATGTTCTTTGATCCATTATTAATCCATTCAAAATTTGCATCACATCCTTGGAGATGTGACTCTTCTCTGAACTCTACATGAACGTGGGATACGTAGCGGGCTAGCCTTTTTTTAAGTAAAAAATGAATATTTCAGATATAAAAAATTAACTTAAACTCTTACTTTGTGTTTGTTTTTTTTTTCTTCAAACGACACAATAATCAATATATGTAAAATAGGCTCAATTAGTGTGAATGGAACATTCATTTTGACAAATTGACACAGTTACCTAGTAATACAAGTTTAACATCTCACCTAATTTGATGTTTCAAAGATATTTGAAACTGTACAATCAATAATTCATGATTGTTAGTATATATATGTCTTTTTGTTTGTTTTTTCATTTGTCAAGTCTTAGAGATAGTTTTAGAATGTAAGGAATCAAAATAAATATGGATCCACATCACGTGTGTGTGAAAGAAGGGGCGGACGGGAATGCTTACATAAAAATGATATAATGCTTACGTAAGCAACCACCATTTAATTCGGAAAAAAAAGGAAAACAGAATAAAAAAGAAATAGAAATTAGAATATTGTTCCTTAACTTGGTGACACAAGACAACTGCCAAATAACAATCATAGCACACAAAAGCTAAAAAGGCTACTCAATACTTAGCAGCAGTAGCAGTAGTATCAAAACTCAAAAGGAAAGAAACAAGAAAGAAAGATTTCAAACCTTTTAAATTTAGTACCGTTAATATATGCTACATGTATTATTGATTTGTTTTGCCATATAAATGAGTGTGATAAGGATATGAATATTCAATGCGAGTGCTTCTCCTTAAAAATTATTTACATTGGAAGCGAATACTCGATATTAAATGAAATCTTAGCACTAATTAAGGCAAGAGTTTGAAACTATGATTAGATGAAAAATGAAAATTATGGAGTTAGCTATGTAGACGTATTCGGCCGTTTCATTGTTGGTTTTGGGTTTTTTTCCATGTTATCGTTGGTGTCGACATGGTAATACTTTTCAAATTTCTTTACGTCAAATACTAAACATAAAATAAGGGGAAAATTTCATATCGATAATGCATATTGATTTTGAATTGTCACACTGTTTTTCATTTACTATGAACGTAGCAAATATAAATTGTTAAGTGCTATAAACTAAAATAGAAGATTAAAATAAAGCCGAGGTTAATTAGATCCTAGCTTATTGGATCTAATTAATCGAGTGGATTACAATTAAGAAATAGCTAATTAATGAGGCAAACTAATCTCATCAAGATCATCTAGTGATAGGAAAACTTCATCCAAACATGAAAGCTCTGTGCCATCATCGTCGTCATTATCACAGTTGCGTTCGTGTACTCGACAAATTACCCATTTACTATAGTCCTGAAAATATAAAAGAAAACCAACATACTAAGAAAACATGATCTCAAACAGAAGAAATAAAAAAGAGAGAGCATGTTCTGTTCCATTCTTACAATTTTGGAGCGGCTTCTTCTTCTAGAAGATGAACGACTAGTTCCAGAAGAAGAATTAGAAGAATCAGAAAGACTAAATTCTTGCATTACCCAATTGGTTTTGACACCTTCAGGTTGCTCTCCAATGTAAAAAGCATAGTATTTTTTCATGCCGACTTTATTTTCACTGGAACTTGAGAATATTGGTTCGTCAAGTCCTAATGATTTCCAGTATCCATTTCCAGTGATTCTACTCTGTGTTCTCCGACTATAGAAATACCATTTGTTGCCTTCTGCCATTGCTTTTCCTGTCCAATACATATCATGCAAAAAAACAAATGAGAGTATGCCTTTTTCCAACATTTTAAGCTTTTAGACGTGGAATTTAAGTCTCTCATCACTCATCCTCAATATGAATTTCGACATGATTAGCCCACAAAAACAAGAACCATGCCTACGATATAAGGAAGATATAATTAAATAAATAAAAGTGTATTCATATATGGTAGCTAGCACGCACTAAACATGAGTTAGGAGAAGTGAAAGTAGAGAAATAAAAAACATACCATCCAAGTCCCAAGGATCATAAGGGTAAAGATCAAGATCAGGAATGACATCAGGATGGCAAGGTAAAAGAGCAGCCTTGCGATGGAGAAAATGGACAACTAGTTCTTCATCTGTTGGGTAGAATCGAAATCCAGGTGGTAGGTTCACATTATTATCCCCCATAATATATCAATGTTATATAAAAGCTGATGGAGGAGGAAGAATACAACAGGTATATATAGTGATGGAAAATTAATGCAGGAGATTAGTAGAGAAGGAGAGGACAAAGTAATGGTGTAAAAGATTTAGAGGAAGGTTATTTATAGAGAAAGAAATGAAGGAGAGAGATAGAGAGAGAATTGACGTGAGAAAGAAGGTAGATCATCAACACCACCACCAACATACTTTCACTTCCCAATTCTGTGTGTGTTTTGCTTCAAAGAAGGTTTTGCTATGCTTTTTCATTTGATGAGATATTTAAAGGATAAATAGTCGATTTGGCTGGCGGCTCTCTGCTCCAAGGCGGCGGGGTGGCCACCTATTTATGGGTCGAAATCCAATACTCCCNATATATATATTATTAGTTTAGCTTTAAAAGTATTTCTCAAAGATCACCATAAAAATTATCCGTAGAAAATGATATTTATGACCTAAAAATAGATAAAATTACGTGTTAAAACATATTGATAGCGTAAAAGTTTTTTTCAATACAGTGTATATATGTATATATTAGTTAATTACACAAGTTATCACTCTGTAAATAATGTATGTTAATCCTTGGGCTAGGCCTATGGTAGGACATAGCTTCATAAACAAGGTGACTGTACTTGCAAGAGATCTGTACATATTATGGCGCGGCTTACCATTTGAGGATCTAAATTAAATTTATTTGATTATATCACTATATATATTGAATATTCATTCGGAAAGGTGAAATTTTTTATAAGCTCTGTCTTGTTGATCAATCTCCTTTAAAACAATATAATATGTTACAACTTGAGTTTGACTTGCAGATGCAACTTGTTGAGTTCATAGTTCTTTTAGGTACCCTTTGGGTTGCCAATGGAACAGTGATGGTTGATTAAGATTAGAGTTTCCTACACATCCATCCCTTTCTTCCTTTCTTGTGCTCATCTTCGTTGTTCATTTGTGGTTATAATTAGATCGCATATACTCCTTCTTTCTATGAGTCAAATGGTTGATGTTGAACAAAGTCTATATGTTATGAGCATACAAAAGTACAGTACCGGAAATTTAACTTTCCCAATGAGTTATGTTTTTTTTTTTAGAGATTAACGATATATATACTCTATTACCTATATATGACAGTACTTTTTCCAAGATAGATCTTATTAACGGGTAGGTGAGATTATGGTTAGTATTAAACATGAATATTTAGTGTTTATTGACAAGTAGCTAGCTAAACCAAAATGATGAGTTCATGGATCAGAACAAAAGTTGGGGTCATATTTGATGGTTGAATCAAGCCTTACAAGGTGCAAGTACTAATAATTTTACTATGGGCAAAATGGGATGTTGTCTTTTTTATTTTTTATTTTTTTGGTCCCTATAATAGTTGTACCTATTAGTAAACTTATTGGAAATGTGGGGTCATCATCACACTTCATGCTTATATCATCCTCCTCATTCCATCCACGTGTCCATAAAACCCAACAGTTATCGTAATTAATCTCTTGAAATAATTGAGTTCTTAGTTCTATCTCCCCCTTTTAGGAGAAAAACAATAAAATTGTTACTCAAGGTGCCTATGGATCATCAAGTTACAAAAAGTACTGGCCGGTGTTACTATTATCTTGGTCCCAGTAATCCCTGATATATAGTCATTTATCTCAATGTTTTCTCTTTTTACATTTCAGCCATTCATTTTAGATAATCATGATTTTTATAGGATAAGTAATTCCATTAGTTGCCAAGATTTATAAGTTCACCAACCATAATCTATATCTCGCAAATCCCCAATAAGAATTAGTAAGTCTTTTCACGTCCAACTTGTATGATGGCAGGAGTTTTAATTTTCTTCTCTGATTATTGCTAATAGTGATCAATAATTAATTAATGTATAAGACTAATTGCAGTTCATGGCCTTATCCAGTTAACCTTTCTTGTAAGATTGCACAAAATTTAGTGCCAAGAATCTTCTCTGTGGCAATGCCACAATTGGTTCTGTGTATGCCACTATTATTGGCTTCTTCTGATGGACAAGTTTGTGCATTCAAGAATATGTCCATACCGTCACGCAGAGACAAATCCAGAATTTAAATTTAAAATGGATTCAACATTTAAGATTTTTATTATTGAACTTATTTTACTATTAAAATTATGGGTTTAAATTTAATATTTATTGAGATTTTAGTAGGTTTTGCATATATATATACTTGATATCAAAAGTTATAGGTTTAAATGAATCCGTAACAATAAAGCTACATAAGCCACTGTATCCACGGGCACATATAGATCAGCAGCTGACCATTTTGGTGTTACGAATATATTTATATGATGACAGTAATAATGAGAAAAAGACTAGGAAGTTGAAACAAGACAGTGACCTTGAAGCATTAGCAGAGCCTCTTTTTTCACTTGAAAATTACTGGCCTGGTGGAATATTGATTTTTAAGGCCATAACGTACACCTTACAAAATGCCCTTTCGTTTTGGTCATGGTCTTTGGTATAAATCCTATGCAGGAAAGCTCAATTCTCCTGCCTACATTTTCTTGAAAATGAAATATATATAAGGCGGGTCTCTTTCACCACTTTGGGACGCAATTGCTTAGACCACTTTATTTGATTATGTTATTGCTGTTTGTTATCTGTTAAAATACAAATTAAACTATAACCTCATTAATTAGCTACCACTTTGATGTTATTGCCGTTTGTTAATGCAAAATTAACTATAAGCTCATTAGATATATGATATATTTTTAGACTACGCTATCGCTTTAAAATAATACAAGGAGTAACTTCTGTACACTTATAATAAAAATATATTTACACAATCAGATAAATTAAAAAGTAATTGTAATGTAAGTTTTCATACTAAGCATGAGTTGGTAACCAGCAAAGAATGTAAGTGGCCTAGTTAGGAGTCCGAAAAATTACTTGAGCATGTAAATTTTTACACATTAAACAGATAGTACTTGATTTCAGCAAACATCAAAATCCACTAAATATATTTATGTTGTGTACCATTAGATGTAGTTGCTCTTTACACATCATGAAAAAATATTTTCAGGAATGACCAAATTCTTTACACTAAATGAACTCTCTTTTTTTTTTTTTTGGAAAGAATGTAAGGAATCTCGTGAAACTAAAATTAAGGGTAAGGGTTGAGTTGAAAGCTCACCTACCAAAGAGATTTAGTACAAGTAAAACAAATAAGACCAGCCAGCATGCATCATTTTGAATCAAACAGCTTTATTACACCTAATGTAACCATAATGTCAAGTACGTTAGTACAAAACAAATAATTCATGTTATAATTATTAAAGTCACCTAAATTTTTTACAAAGACAATAGAGTTTGTTACTTTTAGTTTATGCCTCTCTTTTCAAGTAGCACCACAATTATGGATAGCTATAGTGTATGGCCGCTCTAATCGTGTTTAGATAAATGCTTTATATACATTTTTTTTTAAATTCAGGAAACAATTCTCAAAAAAAAAAAAAAATCTAGAAAAGATGGAGAAGCGAAATAATCAACCTATTCATATTGCTTACACAAAAGACCTTGTCCTAATCTTTATAGAAGACATAGGACAATTATTTTCATAAGAAGTGACATCAATTCGTGCCAAGAATCCATCATTAGAAAGATTAATGAAAAGTGAACCAATGGTGCCACTCAAGAGTCATTCATTCTTATATTTGTGTGTTAAAAAGAGAGAGCCGTAATAGAGTTGAAGTAACTGAATCTCTAGTTGTGAAGTGTGAACAAGTGATGACTACATTGTTGTGTCATTTCTTTTCTTTTTTCCTTTTTTTTTTCTTCCTTTAATGTGGATTTGTGGAGGGCCACTTTTTCCAGTGTTAGTGGCAAGAAACAAGCTCATCTTTATCCTCTTTCCCCCTCTCCCTCCACCAAAGTTCATAATTTAATGTCCTTTGCTTTTTGCCTAACTATATTGTCATGACTTGCAATCTTAAGATGACGAGTACTAATGGAGTTTGGATAGGAATAAAACAAAAGGAAAAAACTGTGTAAGTCCAATAATAGAAACAATAGGATTAGGCTTGTTAACGAGAGTGAGAATTGAACGGTTGAAGAGGAATTTGACATGACTAGATATGAGCCACGTGGAGGCCCAAATGTATCCTACTTTTAGTTTGTGGGGAAAAAGTTATCTCACCCAAGTCAATGAATATATAACATATATGTGTGCATGACATTGTTATGCATATTCTTACATATTAATATAATTTAGTGTAAATATTGATTGGACAAATTCTAAAAAAAAAATAGGGAAAAAGAGAACTCAAAATGCCCATAAGTATCAACATAAAGATAAAGACCAACTTAATACCTTAATACATTCCTACTTTGCTTGTATGGGAATGTCACAAGTAGGGGTGTGTGTTCAGGCAGTTCAGATTGGATATAAAAATTTCGGTATGGATTTTCAGTTTTTAGATTGAAGAAATTACAATCTAAATCCAATCCAAATAAGATTGGATTGGATCGAATTTTTTAAATTCAATTTTGAATTAATCGGATTGGATATTTTAAATTTTCGAGCTGATAAGTTGAGATTCTTCATTCTTCGTATAACAAGGAACACCCAAGTAAAGTATTCATGTTCAACCGCCCGAATAGTTCCTCATTCCACCACAATCATCCAAGTAAATCATTTATGCTAGCAATAAAATCATTATTAAGGAAATGCAACATATGCATTACTAAACTTCAACCTTCAGTATTCACAAACACAAAAAAATGAAACCTGGCGTGGGCAAGAATGAAAAGAACCATATATATTAGATTTAGTAGGGTATCGATATTGAACTTAGTAATTAGTATTGAATATGTGAGCTAATGTTTAATGTGTGGATATTAAATTTATTAGTATTCGGTACATGAAAAATAGGCGTCTAATAGATAGGGCTAAATATAAAGTATAAAAATTTCAATTTTCGAACATTCAAAAGTCCGAAATCCCAAATCCGAAATCCAATCCAAAATTCAAAATTTTAAAAAATCAAATCCAAAAAGTTCGAATTTCGGGTGCCGTTCGATAAGTAAAGAAAGACATGTTAAGCTTCTGTTTTCCCAGGAGACTTGTGGGATAAAAGAGGAAGGAAGTATTTGTTCTGAAAATTTGTATGCCTTTTTTATGACAAGTTAAGATAATTTTGGTTTATTTTATAATATAGGGAGAAGGTCCAAAGTTGTCCCCCTACTATTGATTATTGTTTACATTTAACCCCGTTATACTTTTCGTCCATTCGAGTCCCTACCGTTAACAATCTCTTTTAAATTACCCCTAATCCTAACGACTGTCCACTGTGGCAG